ACGCAGGGAGGAAAACGGATGAAGCCTAAATGTTTAGAGACCACAGCCTTCTCAGGAAGGATCTTTCAGAAATCATCCAATTCACCCTTTCTTCCTGAGAGGATGATGGCACCCCAAGGACAGGGGGTCCTCTCTGCCCTGAAAAATAGTTCCGGGGCAGGGGACAGCAAATGCCCTGGCCTTCCCCTCCCCGGGCTTCGGCACCTGCCCTGGGAAGCCGTCCTTTCTGGCTAAGTCCTGGCTTCCGGGCAGCTCTGGGACAGTTTTCCCGCATTCTATTACATCGGAAGAGCTCTGTTTATGTCTCACCCCTAACTTTGAAACATCTCAGCTCTCTTCTAATACATGGCTTCGTTTGGCCACCAAAATGGTTTCTGGCAGCTGGGGAAAAGCAAAAGTCAGTGTGGAAAAGCAAGTGACATTTAGTAGCTGGAACCTGTTAGTCAGAGCAGGTGGTGCTTTCTGCTGCGTTGGTGGCCAAGTTCCCTGAAGCTAGTCACCATGGTTTTCCTCATTTCCAAAACTTGTGGCTGGTTATGTGTACGGGCTGAGTTGTTGGTGTTGTGTTTTTTTTTTTTTTTTTTTGAACACTTACTTACCATGTTATGTCAAAACTCCTCAACTGTCTCCTCTCTCACACCTACCTGCAGAAGCACCCCAGCTCCTGTGTCACCCAGCTTTCTGGCCTTGCACTTTGTGAGGGAAAACTCCTTCATTTGGGGCAACACCCCCGTCCCATTATTTTTTTACTTCTTTTTTGTTCTTTCCCCTCCTGCCTACTGCAGACTTTAGCAGGCTTCTCGGTGCTGCTGGGGCAAAGGTCCTGTGGTCATCCAGCCGCCATCCGTGGCTTTCCTTCACCCGCAGAACAGATGGGGAAGGCGTGAACTGAAGGCCCACAGTGGTTAAAGCCCTTACCTCCATCCTACAATGTAGCATGGGCAGATCAACCACCACAGTTGGGGGGGGCCCATCTCCCCCTGGCCCAGGTGTTTTGGGTTTGTTTTAAACCTGCCCGTGAGACTGTTCTGGGATGTCTGTAAATACTACGTCTGCTTTAGTCTTGGAATCAGTGTGTGAGCCAGTGAAGGTAAATTAGACCGGAGGTCGGAGCCTTGTCTGTGTAACTTGGATGAGCCACTGCACTGTGCTGAACCTCAGTTTTTTTATCTGCGAAACGGAGACGCTGATACTAGTCCCGCTTTCCCTCCTGAGATGAAGCTCTAGCATCAGGTTAGAATGACCGCGTAAATTGGAAAGCGCTTTGGAAACTGCTGTATGGTTTTAAAATAAACTGACCAAGGATTTTAGGATTCGAGGCAACAGGACAGACGGTGGCTGCTGGCCACCACACCTCTGCCCGTTTCCCAGGGCCCAGAGGGGAGGAAATGGCTCCGAGCTCTGGGGAACTCTGGTGAAGTCTTTTGAGGGGAACCAAGCAGATCTAGAAGATGGGCCTCGGAGCTGGAGAAGCTAGGTCAGAAGTGGTCGGGAGAGGACAGAAAGACCTGGAATGGAATACTAGAAGGATGATGTGTAATATGTAATGTGACTGTTTGGCAGGAGCAGCTGGGCCAATGCCAGAGCCAGCTGGCCCCATCCGTGATGCCTGGAGGGAGGGCTGGTATCAGCTTGGGCCTGAGGAGGAAGGCGTGTCCTGGCCATCTCTGGTCTGGAGGCCACAGGATCTGGTCATTTCCAGGTTGATGGCAGAGTGCGCTCCCCAGTTCGTCTGCCGTGCACATGTTGGCTCTGCCCGGAGCAGATGCAGGTGGGCCTCCTGGCCCTGCCTCAGGCTGGCCCTGCGGGGATGGTTCCTCCCACGGGGGAGCCTGGCGCAGCGCAACCTGACAGCGCCAGGGCTACTCCGGAATTAAATTCTTGAGAAGGAATGGTGGTAGCCTTCATCTCCTCATTGAAACGTAGAAGTGTTTCTACTGTTGCTTTTATGAGTGTCTGGGAAAATCGAGTAAGATAATGTGAGAAGGAAAAACACCTTGAAAACTGTAAACCGTGAGTCCATGGTGAGTTGCGCTGAGGTGACATATCTGGTCTGTAAAATGGGTGATGGAAGGGCCCTGCCTACTTTGAGGATGGTGGTGGGGAGACTCAAATGAGGCCAAAAATGGAAATCCTAAACTTTTACACAAATCCACGGTAGTGTAGTTACTGACATCCAGATGTCGGCACAGCTGCTCCACAAACAGCCCAGAGGTGTAAAGACACAGAAGGAGCTGGGTCAGCTCATTCAGATCTAAACGTGGGTTTTTTTTCTTGGTTTCTGCATGGTCTAAGGTTTTCTTTTTTTTTAAAGATTTTGTTTATTTATTTGAGAGAGAGAGAAAGGAGATCATGAGCCGGGGGCGGGGGGGGGGGGCAAGGATAGAGGGAGAAGCAGACTCCCCACTGAGCAGGGAGCCCGATGCAGGACTTGATCCCAGGACCCCGAGATCATGACCTGAGCTAAAGGCAGACGCTTAACCAAAGGAGCCACCCGGGCGCTCTAAGGTTTTCTGCTCTGTGAGCTTGTTTCTAGAAGAAAAGAAAATTCAGTCCATGTAACTCTTTTAACTTTTTTTTTTAAGATTTTATTTACTTATTTGAAAGAAAGCAGACAGAGCACGAGTAGGGGGGTGTGGCAGAGGGAGAGGGAGAAGCAGACTCCCCACTGAGCAGGGGGCCTGATGCAGATCCCAAGGCCCTTAGATCATGACCTGAGCTGAAGGCAGATGTTTCACTGACTGAGCCACCCAGGCATCCCACCTCTTTGAACTGTTTTTTTTTCTTTAATTAGGTTTTTAAGGTACTTTCTTTTCCCTATGATATTCCTTTTTTTTTTTAAAGATTTTAAAAATTTATTTATTTAACAGAGAGAGAGAGAGCACAAGCAGGGGGAGTGGCCAAGGGAGAAGGAGAAGCAGACTCCCCGCTGAGCAGGGACCCCCCCCCAATGTGGGACTTAATCCCAGGACCCCGGGATCATGACCCGAGCTGGAGGCGGATGCTCAACCAACTGAGCCACCCAGGTGCCTCTTGAACTGTTTTTCAAAAATGAGTTTGTCTCATGAGATTATGGGTTGTTCCTCACAAAGACCTGCTGTGGCTCCGTGAGCCCCAAATGGCCGGGTTCTGAGTTTCCCTCTTAGGAGTTACAGAGTGTGGTTCTCGCCAGCTCCTGCACATCCTAGTCCCCACTTTGGCTCCGAAGCTCTCTGCCTGGGGCTCGGTCTGGCCAAATCAGTCAACCCCCTGACAGATGCTGTCTGGAATTAGACCACACGCTGTCTCGCCCTGGCCTGAGCCGTCCTGCCTGTAGGAGCAGCAGAGCTGCGGGGGAAGGCTGGGGCCAGGGCAGCGCTGGGCTCTGCAGCCTAAGTGGTTGGTTCCAATCTGAGGGGCAAGACACTCATTTAGAAACCACATTCTAAAGAAGTGGTCACATTACTGACTGCGCTACAAGGCATGCCCACAGAAGTAAAGTTTATTATTTATTTTTTATGTTTACCAGTTTATTATAAAAGGTATTACAAAGGCTACAGATGACTAGCCAGATGGAGAGGTACCTGGGACAAAGTGTGGAAGGGTCCTGAGGGCAGAAGCTTCTATTCTGATGGAACAAGGGTGCACCACCCTCCGGCATGTGGATGTGTTCACCAACCTGGAAGTTCCAGTAAAGGTTATTTTATTGCTAACTATATCAGAAATGAGACTCAGTCAGCAGAGCCTGTGGCTCTTGATCTCAGGGTTGTGAGTTCGAGTCCCACGTTGGGTGTAGAGATTACTCGAAAATAATTGAATTTTTTTTTTTTAAAAAAAGGAATCAGATTGGCTACAGATAACAGAAAGTCGTACTGGAGTTCTGTAGACAAAAATCAGTTTATTTCTTTCATGCAGCCAGAATTCCGAGATAGGCATTCACAACTGCGCTGGTGGCACCATGGGGCCATCACATTCCCAAGCCTGTGTCTTGCGGCTCTCGTGTGTGTGTGCAGCCCTTCATCATCATGCCAGTCATCTTGTGTTTGCAGGATGGCTGCTGCAGGTCCAGACATTACATCTACATTCCAGACGGGAAGAAGTAGGAAGGGCAAGGATCTTTATCAGGAAAGCAAGTGTTGCTAGAAACTCTCACCTTGCTTTTCACTGGCTAAAGCTATCATGTGGCTACTCCTAGCTGCAAGGGAGTGTGATGAAGGAAGGATTTTCAGCAAGGTGCATGAAGGCCAGGCAGTTTGGCTGGTAAGAAAGGGGAATAGATGTGCAGTAGGCACTTAGCAGTGTACTGCAACAGTATGGCCCCGATTTTCTCAGAGAATGTTGCTACGAGGCATCTCTGGAAATGGCTGCCTGGTGGTCTGAAAGAGCCAGTGCAGCTTGAAGGAGAACCTAACTTAGAAGGAGGGAGGGTCCAGAGGGTAGGGAGGGGGTGGGGAATCAATCCAGAGGGATACAACCCTGGGGGCCAAGTGCTACTGGTGGGTGCCACTGAGCCCCGGGCTAGCCACAGGATATCATGTCCAGTAACCCTGAACCATGTATTGGTTGGGAATGTCCTATGGGGGGTCGTGGGGGGTACATCTCTTTGGGACTAAAAGAGGAGTGGGTCAGAGTTTACCACCTTCCTTGGCATGACAGGCCATTTGCAGGGATCTTCCAGATTCAGACAGCTGTAGTGGTTTCACTGGTCTCCCAAGAACAGACCCCCCCCCCCATAGGGGCGCCTGGGTGGCTCAGTCGTTAGGCGTCTGCCTTTGGCTGAGGTTGTGGTCCCAGAGTCCTGGGATCGAGCCCCACATCGGGCTCCCCGCTCAGCGGGAAGCCTGCTTCTCCCTCTCCCACTCCCCCTGCTCGTGTTCCCTCTCTTCGCTGTGTCTCTCTCTGTCAAATAAATACAATCTTAAAAAAAAAAAAAAGACCCCCCCCCCACCCCAGCTCTGTCCTCACTAACTGGGTGTTCCAGAGCATTCCACTCACTAGCTTCTTCATCTCTCTCCCTTAAGAAAATCCAGCAGCTCTCAGAGGGCTCCATGTTTGGCCACGGCCTGAAGCACCTGTTCCACAGCCGGCGCCGGTCACGGGAGAGGGAGCATCAGCCGTCTCAGGATTCCCAGCAGCAGCAGGGCATGTCCGACCATGACTCCCCGGACGAGAAGGAGCGCTCCCCGGAGATGCACCGCGTCTCCTACGCCATGTCCCTGCACGACTTGCCCGCGCGGCCCACCGCCTTCAACCGCGTGCTACAGCAGATCCGCTCCCGGCCATCGATCAAGCGGGGCGCCAGCCTGCACGGCGGCGGGGGCGGCGGGGGTGGCGGCGGCAGCCGGCGCACCAAGAGCAGCTCCCTGGAGCCCCAGCGCGGCAGCCCCCACCTGCTGCGCAAGGCCCCCCAGGACAGCGGTCTGGCCGCCATCCTGCACCAGCACCAGTGCCGCCCCCGCTCCTCCTCCACCACCGACACGGCCCTGCTGCTGGCCGACGGGGCCAATGTGTACCTCCTGGCCGAGGAGGCCGAGGGCGGCGGCGACAAGGTGAGGCAGGGCGCAAGGGGGCCTCGGTGGGGCGAGGAGGTCCTCAGAGGCCAGAGCCGGCGGCGGTGGCGGAGGGGCCGCCGGATCCCCCCCCCGCCCCCCCGCCCCGGGGGGATGGAGGGGAGCTGAGCTGGGGGCCCTGCCTGGCGGGTACCCAGACCCTGCTGCCCTCAGACCTCTCTGCCCTGTTCCAGGAGTCAGAGGTAGGACTGACCCAAAGCAAGAGATGATCCCTGAATGGCTCATTTCTGTTTGAGGGCTTTTCAAAATTTTAGTTTGCTCTGGCTAATGTGAATTCCAGCTTGTTTACCTTAAACATGCTATCGAGAAGCCCTTTGTGCAGTTGGTTAAAAGTCCAGACTAGCACCGACCCTGGCTCTGCCACATGCTGGTGCACCAGTCACTTAACCTCTGTGTACCTCAGTTTCACCAAGTGAAGGTGAGAATAATAACAGTAGAATTGTTTTAGGATCGATTGGGTTCATATTTATATAAATACTTGGCATGGAGCCTGGCACAGTATCGTTTTTATTATTATTACCAACCAAAGAAGATAGGAGAGGAATCCATGAAGGGTTGTTTGGTAAGGAGAACATCTAGTTTGGCACTTCCTGAATTTCTGTCTTCATTCCTTTCTTCACATGACAAGTACTTACTGAACACTTGTTACGGGCTGTAACAGTGAACAAGATGAAGGTGCTGTGTTCACGCAGCTTCCTGAGCAGAGGGGAGGCAGGTGGGTGGATGGGCAGAATAGGGTGATAAGGTTGTGATAGAGGCTATGGGGGCTTTTGGGGGGGCAGGGGAAGGGAGGGGAGTTGGCAAAGACCTTCTGGAGGAAGCCATTGAGTTGAATCTTGAAGGAGTATAATTTAGCCAGGGAAGAACGAGGGGGTGGGAGAGGGGGAGGGGAGGGGAGGGTGTAGCATGCACAGAAACCAGCTAGCTGGTGCAGGGGGCCCCGGGCTTCACTGTGGTCGGAGCATCCAGCTCTGCCGGAGGCTGGCAGGGATCACAAGGGCAGTGTGAAACTATCCATGGGTGTTGGGCAGCCAGCTGGGGGGGAGGCGGTCCCTCTGGGTCTCCGTGTAGGACTAGAAAGATAGACTGGGAGTGGAGTGGAGGCAGGAGTGGAGGCAAGGAAACTGTGTTTGGAGCTACCAGAGGAGACTAGGCTGCAGGGAGGCTGGAAAGGAGACAAATTCAGAAGGCATTTGGAAGTTGGAATCAATAGACCAGTGAGAAAGTGGAGAGGAAGACGAAGGAAGGGGAAGAGCAGAGGAGGATTCCAGGGTTCTGGCTCACCAGCTTGAGGGGTGGGGCATCCTCTCGTTAGGGAGGCATGGGAGTGGGAGCAGGGACCTTCGGGAGCCATCCAGTTAAAGAGCACCAACTGGCAGTCAGTCTGGTTCCTGAGGGAGAGGTCTGGGGTTGGGCTAGCACTTTGGGAGTCAGCACTGAGCTGGACCTCATGGCATGCGTCGAGCGAGCGGGAAGCCAAGGACAGACCCGATGTATAAGGGACAGAGCAGCCAGACCTGTAGGAGTCGTCCTGGAGGGAGGTGATGCTGAAGCAAAAGGAGGAAGGAGTTTGCAGGAGGAGGGAAGTACTCAACAGAGCGAAATGTAGCAGGAGTGACAGGTCACCTCGGAGTTCGGAAATGTACACAGGCAGTCGCAAGCAGTGGGGGTCATTGGTAACCAGCAAGAAACCTGTTTCAGTGGATCGAGGAGATGGTGGCATTGGGGACAGCATGTGTTGCTCATCTGGGAGAAAGGATGGCAGATACTGGATTGAGGCACTTTGGGTTTTGTCGGTTTCTTAAAGATGCAGGGGGAGAGTTGTGCATCACAGAGGGCCTCGCCGGCAAGGAAAAGGACTTCTGACTTTTTTCCCAAGTGAGATGGGAAGTCATTAGAAGGTTTTTGTACAGATATGGGACACCTTTTAAGAAGATCGCTGTAGGGGCGCCTGGGTGGCTCAGTTGGTTAAGTGTCTGTCTTCGGCTCAGGTCATGATCCCAGGGTCCTGGGATCGAGCCCCACACTGGGTTCCCTGCTCAGCGGGGAGTTTGCTTCTCCCTATCCCTCTGCCGCTCCCCCTGCTTATGCGCGCTCTCTCTGTCAAATAAATACGTATAATCTTTAAAAAAAAAAAAAAAGAAGAAGAAGAAGAAGATCTCTGTGGTTGTTGTGTGGAGAACAGGCTATGAGCCAGGGTGCGAACCTGGAGTCCAGCCAGGAAGCTATTGAAATCGCCCGGGCATGAGGTGGTGGTGGCTTGCAGCTGGGTGGGAGGGGTGGAGGTGGGGAGGAGGGGCTGGATCCTGGATTTGCTTCCGAGCTCGAGGTACCCCCATCTCTGACGGATGTGGAGCATGACAGGAAGGAAGCAGGCAAAGATAGCACACAGGTTTTTGGCCTGGCAGCTGGAAGGAAGAAATTGCCATTAATTGAGTTGGGGAAACAGGCAAATGGAACAGATACCTGGCAGGGGCCATGGGGGCCAGAAATCAGAGCGAGGTTTTGCACGGATTATGTTTGAGATGACTATTCAACATCCACATGGAAATGCCAAAGAAGCAGTCAGATATGTGAGTGGATTCTTGAGGAGAGATCCAGACTGGAGGCATACACTTGGGAATTGTCATTGTAGAGACAGGATTTAAAACGATGGCACTGGACCATTTGCAAGCGTCGTTTCAGCTGTGGAGGGTGTGTTCCAAGAGTGAGATCTGCCTCTGTCGGCTGAAAGGCCTTGTGGAGTGGGGACCTGGAGGGGCCTAGCAGAATGAACCGAGTTATCAGCTTGTAGTGAGCAAGTGCTCTGCGTGCAACCGTAGCCTGGCCCACCTGTCTGTGCTGAGTCAGTGAAAACACTTTAAAAATGAAATTAGAACGATCCTGTCAAGCGAGGGTCCTTGGGACCACAGCTGCTTTCTGAAGGGGGGAATGTGAACCTTGTATTCTCCGGCTGCCTGAGCAGATGGAGTGGGTGGGCGGCGGGCGGTGGTTCGAAGCTGATGACGGCTTGTTGATGTTTGGTGACTGGGCGTGCAGGGGGCTTGAGGCTTGGGGGCAGGCGCATCCGCTGGGGAGCTTCTCCCCAGGCTTTTGCCCGTGGCTGGTGCTTGATCTTCACACTGCCCCCGATGTGGCCGGAGTTCTCCTCTTGCTGTTGGGGGAAGACCAGGGCTGGACACTCTTGGGCGACCTGCTGGGAAGGACGGTTCCCTGGGTTCAGGGTGGTCACAGGGGAAAGGGTAGTTCCTGTGATTGTCTTCTATCAGTATTTAGAACTTTCGGCTTTCCCAAACTCTGCCGTATTATTGCCTGGTTAATAACATCCCCGTGAAGCTGCCAGAGTGGGCCCTATCTCCGTTTTCCAGCTGAAGAGACAAGGCCTAGAGGAATCAGGACACTGCTTCCTGAGGACACCCGGCCACTTCCTGGCAGAGAGGACAACGGATCCCACATTCTAGGGGGTTCGCCGGGCCAAACAGACGTGAAGTCACTACAAGTAGTAGGGACCCTTTTATGCAGTATTCACAGGGCGCGGGTCTGCCTAGGCTCAAGAGGGTGACACTATGGCTTGGTTGCCCCCCCGCCTCAGTTACACAGCTTTCCTGCCCTGTAACTGTCCCGCCAGGCATAGGCGAGGCCCTGGGGGGCTTCTGAGGAGGAAAGGGGTCTTCTAGCCTCCAGGAAAGCCTGCCGTTGTCAGCTGACTCTCCCAGATCCAGAGACCATTGGTCCGTGTGAGATGCTCTGGTGGTTCCTCCCCAGTCTCTGGGCATGAATAGAAGGTATTCTTCTCTCTAGTAAACACAGCTCCCCACATGCTCTCTGCAAGCTCCCTGGTGATTACGAGCATCTATTTTTAATTCATAAGCCTCCCCCACTACCCACACCCCTTGCCATTGTTTGGAACTCACCAGCTGGCTTTCGGACCAGAGCGGCCCTGGCGGGGGTTGAGTTACTAGAACAGCCTGGAAGCAGCTCTAGCTCCTCAACTGTCATGGAGAGGCTCACCTAGCCCCCACCCAAAGAGAGCAGGGGGCCTGGTGCCCCGAGGACAGCAGGAGTGCAGCAGGGGGACAAGCCAGGGGCTCACAGTCCTGGGAAGCAGCTCAGCCTTGGTGACATCATTGGGCTGTCATTGTTCCCTCCAGATCCAGTGAGCTGTTTTTGACATTGCGCCTTAAATGATTTCCCCTTAAAAGCAAAAACAGATGCCCATCTCTGTCCCCCATCTTGCTTTCTACCATTTGTGGAGCACTGAGCAGTGTAGCTTCTCCCTCTGCCTGATAGCTAGAAAGCGGAAAAAAATTGTCACCATTTGTTGGGGCACTGGGACACTGGCAGGTGCATAGAGAATGCTGGTGACATCTGGGTTCTCCATCTGTGTGTAGCGTGGCCTAAACCTCTGGGAATCCTGGGTCCCGGGGCTGCAGCAGGAACCACTGGGTGCAGGGGCCATGGAGTTGGGCTGCCTGGTTTCCCGGCAGATGAGTTCATTCTCTCTCTCCTTCCCTCCCTCCCTATCTCTGTCTCTTTTTGCTGAGCAGCAGTTCCTAGAAAATGTGTACTCTCAGAGAAACCTAGTAACTTTTCCTGTCCCACCTTCATTTCCTGCTCCCAGACTTTCAGGGAGCGTATTAGCCCCTGCCGGGGTCAGAGGCTTATATCCCCCTTTCCTCATTTCTTCCACGTCTGGCTTGGTCATTGCTTCCCTCTTGGCCTTAGTCAAAACTTTGCCCCAGCTGTCACCCCATGTCCCACACCCCTTCTGGGCTTCTGCAAGGGGCACCCAGCTGGAGGGTCTCGGGAGAGGGATCGTGCAGGAACACTGGGTTGATGGCCAGCCCTGCCAGGCTGGCGCCTGACCTTCCCCTTCTGTGTGGTATGGTGGGTGCACTCTGAGGACAAGGAGGGGTATGCGGTGGGAGCCTGGAGCTCACAGAGGGTGTCTGGATAGCCTTAGGAGACCAGTATGGAGG